TTAGAGGATTTCGATTTCAGCGCGTTTTTCCCTTACAAGGGAACCTCTCCAGGTGTTAAATAGCTTTTCGCTCGGGACCATTGGCATTCGACAGATCCTAGTGAGCACTGAAAAAGTCTGTGTTGGTTTGGGTGCATGGGCCTCTGGGACTGAGATATTAAATTTTTAGTGAATTTTTCCTCAGGACCCCAGTTTTCCAGCAAATTTATATTTTCGAATTTTGACCTGAAACTGTGTCCACAGGAAGCCTCAGCTAAACTACCTTCCATAAAAAATTTCAGAACTTTTGAACAAAGTCTTTCTGAGATATGAATTTTTCAAGATATAGGCGCTGTTCCATAGATAGTGTATAAAACATGCATCTTTTGGAAAATTCATATCTCAGAAAGACTTTGTTCAAAAGTTCTGAAATTTTTTATGGAAGCTGGTTTAGCTGGGGTTTCCTGTGGGCAAAGTTTCAGGTCAAAATTCGAAAATATAAATTTGCTGGAAAACTCGGGTTCTGAGGAAAAATTCACTAAAAATTTAATATCTCAGTCTCAGAGGTCCATGCACCCAAACCAAGATAGACTTTTTCAGTGCTCACTAGAATCTATCGAATGCCAATGGTCCCGAGCGAAAAGCTATTTAACACCTGGAGAGGTTCCCTCGTTAGATACCACGCCTTTTTCCACACAAAATAACCCTTATTTGAAAAGAACATACTCTCGGGAAATAGCATTTCGATTCCTCGAAATAACGTTTTGAGGGGTCAGGTTTTGGAGCTTTCAATAGGTTGTGAGACCTCGGAAGACAGTTTACAGCTCATCGAACATAGGTGTTCGGGATTTCCGACAGCTCGTCACACTTCTGACACGAATGTTTTAGTCTGCTTAGGTGTAGACGTTTCGAGCATGAAAGCAATTTTAAGAAATTTGAAAACTATAGCCATATGCAGTGTTCTGGAATGTGCAGCTAAAAAGAAATTAAGCACAATCCGTGAGGATAAGGAAGATGATGGTGCCACACTCCACTGTGTCTGCAGAAGTTTCAACCGGACAAAAATATTGCCGCGTGCAGCAGTTTCGGTTACAAACTTATGGGAAAAAGTTCGTGAACTAAAAATTTCTTCTCACCGCACCCACTACGTGCACGAGATCAAAGATTATGAGAAGAAGCGTGAAAATAAGAGCCAATGTATTCAGTATGACTTTTCCGAATCGTTTGAACAAGCTCTCATTATGTCCTGTTTAGAAAAGACTGAATAACTTGCGAAAAAAAAGGGGAATTACTGATCTCTTTTACATATCGAGATATCCTGAACTGAAACTCCTTCTACATGTACAATGAACGATTTTTATGCTAGGTGTGTCTACCGGTGCAACATCAACTTTACACACATCAGCAGTAACTCCAAGTAAGACACAATCTTTCATAGCAGCAAGCGTCGTAAACGTCCTACTTTTCTTCTAGTAAATTTACAGACAAAAAGACATTTTTCTCCTACTTTTCACTAGTGAACCTTGTTTTTTAATAGTTTTTCAGAAAACACGAAAATTAAAGAAAATTCACGTTTTTTCTTCTTGAATTTTGAATGAGACAAATACAAATAAAATGAAACATTCCTCCGGACAGCATCGTCAAGCTGTGACGAAAAAGCTAAAAGCTACTTTACCTACTTTTTGATATAAATCCTACCATAACGAACTTCACGATCCTACTCCTATTCCTACTCTTTGATTTTTGCTATGACGAAGTCTGACAACAGAAAAGAACGAATCCTGAACTGAAACTCCTTCTACATGTAAAATGAACGATTTTTATGTTAGGTTTATCTACCAGTGCAACATCCACTTTGCAGACATCAATAATAACTCCAAGTAAGACTCAATGTTTCAGAAGTTATAAACTTAGTTAGCTTAGTTAGCAAAACGTTAGCGAGAAAACACTTCGAAAACACATTCTGTTCTGCTCATTACTAGTTACTGGTCACAAATATATAAGAGAATTTTATTCAGAAAATATTTGGATTATTATATCTGCATTAATAAATGTGGTAAAAGTAGAGCATCTGTCATGGTTTTCTAAATTTCGCTGTTCAGAAACTTTTATTTTCAAATTATCTATTGCATTTTGTAGAGGAACGGACGCTCTACAAAATCCACGCACAATAGGAGAATGCTGCTAGAAACCGTTTTCTGGTTCAAAATTAATGGTGTTTTAGAAAATGGAAAATTTCGGAAAGCTCAATTTCTTTTTAGGAAAACTGAATTATGTATCAAAATTAAACGAGCCATCCTCTTCAGCTTTTATCAGGCTTTTGAATGAGATTTTACTCGAACAGAACGGACAACATTTTACTGAGTTATAAGCAAAATACTGAGCAGGCGCTTTTTCAGAAATCCTCGATAGTGCTCATTTTGTAAATTCTATTACTCAGTCAAATTGAGTTCGGAAGGGCTAAAACTGTTTTCATAATCCCACTTTTGACCATAGAATCCAAAAATATGAAAAACAAAGATATAGGTTAATATTTGACCATTCCACTACATTTCTCGATGGGCTCGTACAGACTCTCTTAAAAAATTCAGTCTACAATCAACTGTTAAGGCGCAGAAAAATTACACATTGCATAACGAACGGTTTCTGATCAGTTCCAGTCGTTATCTTCTCAAAAGTATACAGGGTGGTTTTCCTGCAGAAACCACCCGTTGTCCTTTTGAGCTCGATCGGACAATTTTCTCGAGGAGTGGTAATGTGAGCCAATGTGAACTGAAACTCCTTCCACATGTAAAATGAATGATTTTTATGCTAGGTCTATCTACCAGTGCAACGTCAACAGTAACTCCAAGTAAGACTCAATGTTTCATAACAGTTAGATATTTAATGTGTTTTCAAACGAAAATAATCTATCTGACTATTGGATGATGCTGTCTGAGAGCACTTGGATGGAAAATACTACGATTTTAGTCAGAAACTTACTTACTTCTCTATTTATACTCTCCTCATTCGTCTTCTACGATGTTCTTGCCATAATCTTTTCTCCTTAACAAATTCCAGGTTAACAAGTTCCAGGCTAAAAAGGTTGCAGTTTCGGGCAACTATTGTGTCTCTAACGCAGTGCCCTAAATCGGAAAGGTTAACTATGCCTCTCAATGGGTTTTTGTACACTTTGCTCTAAAAACACTATTTCCTATTCAGAAGTTGAATCACTTTTGACCTCATCTTTACTATACACTAAAGGCATAAATCTCATTTCTTTGTCGAAAAACTGGTATGTAGTTTAGCTATTCTCTGGACTAGATCCGAAATAAAGTAATCAGGATGTCTAGAATTTACGAAATGTGTAACGAAAAATCTTTAGTATAAAGTTGAGTTCAAAGCTTGATTTAAGCTGCTGTTTCCTCTTAGTATCAAATAGAAGCTTCACAAAATGACTGAATCCAATAAGCAAAACATTTATGAGCGATACCTTCGTTGTAAACAATCGGAAAAGCACTTATTCAATCAAAATCGGATGTACTGGTATATTTTCCTTCACACGAGTTCGAAATCCCTCGAAAATCCTTGAAAGCTTTTAAAAGATCAGATTTTCTCCTAGTGCCTTCTTGTGTAAGTAGGATTTCCAATTACAGAAAAGAAACAAGTCGATCTGTGGCGCCTCTTTCATTCGACTGAAAGAACTGTCATGTAATGCAAGTCTCGATAGCAAATATTGCAACGATTTGTCTTGGTTCACACGCAAAAATCGAATATTCTTAGCATGATCCTAATCCGTTTGTATAAATTACAAATTTCGAATTTATCAATCAAACAGACTTAATCTCCTTATGTATAAGGCGTGTAAAGTATATTTAATCAAGTCGAATATCTTACATTCTCATGAGGTTTGGAAAAAGTTTGTAAGGCCGTTTTCCTAGTATAGATTGCTTATTATACCCTTCGAACACCGATATATCCCCACATATATGAAGAGGGAGGGATGTAGTGATAAACATATGTACACAAAGATCTATATCGATAGATACTCAACATGTATGTTTATATATGTTACAGTGGAAATTAAAGTTCCAATTTTCACTGGATTCTTGTCAGTGAAAATTGAAATTTTAAGTTCAACTGGTGGAGAGTAAACTTTTAATCTGCACTAGCGGAATTTTAAATTCTACTGTAACATATATGTTACGTGAATAAGTACGTGATCCGTATTCTTTCTTCAGGACATACATATCTAGTGAATACATACTTTATCCGTATTTTTCACATCTCCGATCATCGATTGACTGTTATGATGAAATAACAATGGAAGGAACATTTCTTTGGAAGATTTCCACAGATGTTCAGGCAAATATCGTTTAGAAGGAACCAACAGGCTGGAAATTCTACTCATTAATAGATTTTCTTTGTCAACAAGGCGTTGTTTTTTCTAGCCATCTGTTCCCCGTCCTGTTTGAATGGTGGAACATGTTCAGCACCAAATGTGTGCAATTGCACATCGGGCTACAATGGATCATACTGTCAAACGCGTACGTATCTCTTAGCTCCCAGTTTTAGAAGCAGAATAGCAGGATCTTTGCAAGCAACATTGGTACTTGTTACATTGACTCTTTCCTCAGCTGTTTGCTCAGGTCTGTGATAAAATGATCGAAATGTTCGCACATGCACATCAAACTATGCTGCCAGTTAGTGCCAGTACTCGCATGTATTTCTAATGTTCGCTCTTGATTCTCGCCTAAGTTGGAGCTGTGTATCGCCATGCTTTTGTTGTTCACGGATTTTTTTTTGAAATAGAAGGTGCAGAATTGGAGATTGAACTTGAAATAGGATTTCTTCTTGGAGATTTATGCCAGTATGTGATTAATTCTGTGGTAGTGTGTGCGGGTGTCTCTCTCATTATTCTTAACATGGAGAAAGTATTGAGGCGAAGGTTTGTTATTGCTGTGGAAGTTATAAGCCTTCTCAGGATAGCTTTAAGAGCATGCAAGCTTCGCCGGGACATCGAGGAGTAGTGCAAACATTTCATGTTGTTTGTAGTTATCCCGTGTACTGGTTGGGTCGTAACAAAGGGTTTGGCATATGGTGACGGTGTAGGGGGTAGCCCTTTCGATGATTCAACTGATGTTGGCGATTCATGTCCTATTTACCCATCGATGATTAGTTTCGCGGCTGACCATTTATGTGTTGCATCTTTGAATACGACATATAAAAGTGTGCACAAGAATTCGACACAGTTGCGATATGATTTTAGTCAGGCCCTCGAAGATGTAGAAACGTTGACCTTAGACACCGATGAATGGGTTATTAAAGTGAATGGCATTACTGGAGGATTCATCAACGCGCTACAGTTTCATACAAACAAAGGTCGACAAACACGACTCGTTGGTGTATCTAGTGGCACTTCATGGTCAGAAGGCGGAGGAGGTGCTAAAGTATTAAGTTATTTTAATGGTCGGTACGGTGATGAGATAAATCAAATACAGTTAAACTTTGTCCCAGCTGATCCAGGTAAATATATAAGCCTCTTGGCTACGATTTGAACAAAAGAAAAGTGTAAGTGAATGAACAGTTTCTAAAACCAGCGCTAAGAAGCAATTTCTCTAAAGTTTGCCTATCTCTCAACTGGCATGAACCACAATCTTTTTTAACGAAGCGATTTTCTAGATTCCGATTGAAAGTTGGCTTTTTAAATTTAAAGTTTCAAAAGACGTGTGAGTGAGCCTTAAGAAATAATTATCTGGCTAAACCGTGACGAAGTACAAAAGCACTAACATTATGTCACTATTGGCGCCTGTCGGATAGCTCTGTCCTACCCGCCTTGCAGCTAATCAGGACGCTATACGTGGTGTGAAAAGCAAGGGTAAAATGTGCGCAGCAAATTATTATAGTCACACGTGCGCAGGCTCGATTCCTGTTCAGAGCAACTTTTTATTTACTTTCTTTTTAGCAAAAACCTAGCCAGTTTGCTGAAGTACCCATGCTCAAAATACATGGCGTACTACGTAACCGACTATGGTGGATCTGAATATGCAATCCGTTTCCACCGAACTCGTTTTAAAAATCTTGCTTGTTCGGTGATATGATTTTTAAATAGAACTAGAGTCGATGATATTTACATTTTTGGATAGAGGATGGTCGATTGTATATGTATCCAAGATAACTGGCTCGGGGCACTGTTAGTCGGGAAGCGAAACGTTTTTCGGAAAGTTTTCCAGGGAAAGAAGCAAAAAAATATAGCAACTCGAGCAGTAATCGAACCCGCGCCGTAAGAATTCGCTTCCTTTCTACTCTTTCCACTGAGCTATTGAATCTATACTTTTCTATCGTCCTATTTTCTATTCTGTCCTATCTTCACTATATTTGAGATAATGGGAGAAAATGAACAAATCTTAAGAGTTTTTTTCATGGACATTTCTAAAAGTATTCCAGATTATATGCATACTTTTAAAGCAGCATAACGTAATCTCTTTTAGATCAAATTGCACTCTGTTTTACTCGACACTTGTCTCGAGAACAGATCGCAAGAGAATAAAAGAGAAGCTGCATTCTTCATGGTATCATATTCTTTCTGCTTGCTCTCCAGTAGACTTTTTTACACTGTTCACATGTGAACAGTGTAAAAAAGTCTACTG